CCATTAGGTTTCTTCCTCCCCTGTTCCTGGGGGGTCTCTCTTCGGGAGAGCTCCCTGACCTAGTACTTGGTGGTCGGCTAGCCACAAGGAAAGGGGTCTGCCAGGTCTTTTGGCTAGGTGGACCATGTGTAAACCTTTGTCCCTTTCAGGAGGCTTGTGCCTTGAGGGATCAGGGTAGAGGTCCTACCCCCTCAGGGGGTGGACTAAAGCACACCCCTAAGTGCACTTTTTTGTGTTTTGCACTTGCACGTTTTTGTTTTCCGCACCTCCCCGGACTTTAAAAAAAAATGAGTGTAAAATTGAATCTTGATTGATGCTGTGGTCTTTTGAACCATTTTATACAGCTTAATATTAAAGTGGGTGTAAACCCCTACATACCCACCCACCAACCTAGTGAAGTGACTGGCATCAGGTGATACAGAGAGATAAAATAAACCCTCATACAAAAGTTGTATCTGTTTATCTGCAGTCTTCTCTTCCCTACAGCTATTCAAAATGCTGCATTTATAAAGCTTGTCTGGGCTATCAGAAAAAAGAACTGAAATTACACACTGCAGAACTCAGTAATGAGAGATCTGATAGCTGATTGGGGGAAAGGGACACACACCAGTTTCACACAGCACACAAGAGCTGAGCTGGGTCTGTCAATCATAGGCTGTGCTGGAGATCCCCTCCCTGTCACTTTTTTGTTTTTGGTGTCAGGAAACCTTGTCAGGAGTGATTAATGATGATAGCAGATGAACAAGGCAGCAGACAGAAAATGGCACTTAGTGCTCTTAATTGGGACAAGTACATCCTATAGAAGGGTATGCTTTCTTAATATTGCATGTGAAAGGTTTACTACCACTATAGAAGATATATATATATATATATATTTATACACACACAAATTGTTAATCAGCCAATCATGTGGCAGCAACTCAATGCATTTAGGCATGTAGATGTGGTGAAGACGACTTGCTGAAGCTCAATCTGAGCATCAGAATTGGGAAGAAAGGAGATTTAAGTGACTTTAAGCATGGCATGGTTGTTGGTGCCAGCTGGACTGGTTGGAGTATTTAAAAAACTGCTGATCTACTGAGATTTTCACGCACAACCATCTCTAGGGTTTACAGAGCATGGTCCAAAAAAGAGAAAATATCTAGTGAGCGGCAGTTTAGTGGATGAAAATGCCTTGTTGATGTCAGGGGAGAATTTGAAGACTTATTGCTGCGACATTCAGATGGTAGGGTCAGAATTTGGCGTAAACAACATGAAAGCATGGATCCATCTTGCCTTGTATCAACTATTCAGGCTGGTGCTGGTGGTGGTGTAATGGTGTGGGGCTATACCTAGTAAAGTGGCCGGTGAGTGTGTATCCCCAAGGTAGTCACTGCACACTGTATGAGAGATAGGTAGGTGTCAGGGGCACAGCCATAGAAATACAAAGGGTTTACAGGCACTCATGAGTTTTGCAACAGAGATAAGTCAAAGAAACAGCAATTTATAGGCAACTTTTCGACTGCTCAAACCTTAACCGCTTCCCGACCACCCTATAGCAGGAATACTGCTACAGGACGGCACTGGTGCGCAAAATCACGTATATATACGTGTTTTTGCATTTCCGGGTAGGTGGCACCCACGAGCCCTACCCGCGTCGGCTCCCGGTGATTACCGAGGATCTCCAACGGGGAGGAGAACTGTTTTGTTTACTAACAGTTCTCCTGCCTGTCAGCTCAGGCACACTGCTTTGGACGGCTGTGCACAGCACAGCCATCCAGAGCAGTGTGCTTACAGTGAAGCACACAGATTCCACCCCTTAGTAAAACACACCCAGCACACAGTTAACCCTTTGATTGCCCCTCACGTTAACCCCTTTCTTACCCAGTGCCATTAGTACAGTGTCAGTGGATTTTTTTTTTTAGCACTCATCACTGTATTGGTGTCACTGGCGATATCAGTGACACCAAGTCAGTTCCCCCCAGTGTCAGAATGTCCTCCATAGTCTCGCTATAAGTCGCTGATCACCGCCATTACTAGTAAAAATAACAAAAAAATTTAAAATTCCAGTATATACATTGCCATTTTTAAACTCTTTAACTTTCACGTAAACCATTTAATTTACAGGTATTGGGATTTTTTTTTAGTAAAGACATGTCGCAGAATACATTTTGGCCTAAATTTATGAAGAAATTTGATTTTTTTTTTTTTTTTTTTTTGGACATGTTTAATAGCAAAAAGTCAAAAATGTTTTTTTCTTAAAAATTGTCAGTCTTTTTTTTTTTTTATATAGTGCAAAAAAATAAAAAACACACAGGCGATCAAATACCACCGAAAAAAGCTCAATTGGGAGAAAAGGACGTAAATTTAATTTGGGTGCAGCGTTGCATGACTGCGCAATTGTCGGTTAAAGTAATGCAGCTCTGTATCGAAAAAAATGGCCTGGTCAGGAAGGGGGTTAAGTCCTCTGGAGGGCAAGTGGTTAAATAAGCCATAAGTCTATATTAAGATAGAATAATGCAAAAGGAACTAAAGAACCGTGTGACAGTTTCTCAATGACTCAGAGTGGCTTGTGGCTGGAAAGTCAAATTTAGACATGCAACTGCGGTATCTGACCTTGTTTTTTGTTATTAGGTATAACAAGAACTAACATTTTACTTTGTATGTTGGGTTGTCGTATTTGTAACTGCCGTATGTAACTGGAATAATAATTCAACATCCACAGTGATGGGATTGTTCCCTGGTATAAACAGATAAAAGAATGATTAATGCTTGATTGCACAAAGATTCTCCAATGTGCCTATTACCGATGTCTAGTTGAAGTGTGTGTATATGACAAACATTAGGCATAAAGTAAATAAAATATCGGCCAGTTTAACTTTTGTTTATCTTTTCCTGGGGAGATCTCCCTTCACTTCCTTCCCAACAGAAAGCGAGATGAGATACTGTAGGTTCACCAGTAAGTTGTCACTGCAATGAGTGTCCACATTTAGTGATTTCCCTTCATCTCCTGTTCCTGTGACAACTGTAAAATGTGGGATTTTCCTTCACTTTCTTTCTTGGTGACAGTGGTCATCAGGACAAATACAGATAGTAAAATCTCCCCTGCAGGTACCCAGCAATACAAACTTGACAGATGTTTGGCTGTAAATGAACATAATGCCTACATGGCTTTATTGCTGCAAGTTATGCTCTTTTCTCTTTATAGGGCTAGTTAATATTGTAGAATGGTACAGATCTTAGCTGAGGAATCCCTTTTAGGAGTTTGGGGAGTCTAGGAGCCTTATAGTGATTTTGTTAAGGAACTCCGTTGTATGCTGACATTGATGTGGTTTGGGCATCACATGCAGATAACTTCTGGCTGTAAAACTAAAAGCAGACCCATATCACACAGGAAAGTTAGATCTCCCACATGACTATGTTGCTGCATAATTGCCCAAAAAAACAGGTGGAATGTGTAGCCAAAAAAGACAAGTTTGGTTTTTGACAATCACTAAGCAAACTGATTTTAGCATGGTGTCTTTGTTGGCCATAGGCTCAGTTCCTTCTAATGAAACTACCTGCAAGTAGTATGTTAATGTTCTTCCCTTCTTGTATGTTGTATGTTCTTCCCTTATTCATGTGGATTTCCGCTGGCCAGTTTACTTTTCTTCCAGAAACCAAAAGCTTATAGGTTGATTATTCAGCCAACCCCTGTTTGTGTCTGAATGATAGTGGTCTGAGCATTAGTCTGTGAGCACCCTCAGGGGCAGGGTCTGTTATAGGCCAGCCTCAGTGTGTGTCTGAATGACGGTGTCCTGAGCATTAGTCTGTGAGCTCCCTCAGGGGCAGGGTCTGTTATAGGCCAGCCTCAGTGTGTGTCTGAATGACAGTGGTCTGAGCATTAGTCTGTGAGCACCCTCAGGGGCAGGGTCTGTTATAGGCTAGCCTCAGTGTGTGTCTGAATGACGGTGTCCTGAGCATTAGTCTGTGAGCTCCCTCAGGGGCAGGGTCTGTTATAGGCCAGCCTCAGTGTGTGTCTGAATGACTGTAGTCTAAACATTAGTCTGTGAGCTCCCTCAGGGGCAGGGTCTGTTATAGGCCAGCCTCAGTGTGTGTCTGAATGACTGTAGTCTGAACATTAGTCTGTGAGCACCCTCAGGGGCAGGGTCTGTTATAGGCAAGCCTCAGTGTGTGTCTGAATGACAGTGGTCTGAGCATTAGTCTGTGAGCTCACTCAGGGGCAGGGTCGGTTATAGGCCAGCCTCAGTGTGTGTCTGAATGACGGTGGTATGAGCATTAGTCTGTGAGCACTCTCAGGGGCAGGGTCTGTTATAGACCAGCCTCAGTGTGTGTCTGAATGATAGTGGTCTGAATCATTAGTCTGTGAGCACCCTCAGGGGCAGGGTCTGTTATAGGCCAGTCTGTGTGTGTCTGAATGACGGTGGTCTGAGCATTAGTCTGTGAGCTCCCTCAGGGGCAGGGTCTGTTATAGGCCAGCCTCAGTGTGTGTCTGAATGACTGTGGTCTTAGCATTGGTCTGTGAGCTCCCTCAGGGGCAGGGTCTGTTATAGGCCAGCTTCAGTGTGTGTCTGAATGACTGTGGTCTTAGCATTAGTCTGTGAGCACCCTCAGGGGCAGGGTCTGTTATAGGCCAGTCTGTGTGTGTCTGAATGACTGTGGTCTTAGCATTGGTCTGTGAGCTCCCTCAGGGGCAGGGTCTGTTATAGGCCAGTCTGTGTGTGTCTGAATGACTGTGGTCTTAGCATTGGTCTGTGAGCTCCCTCAGGGGCAGGGTCTGTTATAGGCCAGCTTCAGTGTGTGTCTAAATGACGGTGGTCTGAGCATTAGTCTGTGAGCTCCCTAAGGGGCAGAGTCTGTTATAGGCACTTCTATGTACTTTCATAAGCCCTGAAATGGCCAGTGCAATGTGAATAAATCAATTGTATTTGAAATTATTTTTCTTTACTAATGATTACTCTATGATCTCTAATTAAAAATGAAACACGGTTAAAATATATACATGTTTCTGTCTTCCTTAGGATTCACATCGCTTTGGACAACACATCAGACAAGCAATGCTTGAAATTATGGGTTTATTTAACATCAGTACAAACAACTGCAACAAGGCCAAGAAGTAATACACTCATTTTTTTCAAAAGAGACCAGAAAAACCATTCAGATGCAAATTTCAGTTCTAAAATATACACAACGCAACACAAGAAAATAGACTCTGTAGTTGCTGAACGTAGTGACTGCAAGCGCTTGGTCATATCAGATCTCGTTCATCTTACGTTGGTTTAGGAATTCTTTTATACTTTTTATGTTTCCAGGCCTGTGGAACGTACATACACTTCATATCATTTCAGTTGCTGCTGGAGTGTCAGACAGAAATGTTACAAGGGCTTCTTATATTTTAGAATAGTATACATAGATGTGTATAACCTCATTTGCTATACTCCAAACATTCACGTAACTTTTTTTTGTCTTGATGTGCTTTCAACTCAGACAGCCAACCTTCCTTTAAGCAGTCTATCTATTTATTTTTTTTTATTTTTTTTTTTTGCCAACAGCTAACCCCAAAAGGGTTGACATCCAAGTGCATAAAACATGTAAAGTTTAAAGGGGACCTAGGCTCAGGCAGCTTTATTCATAAAGCATATCTAAAACCCCAAGACAATATTTTTTTTACATATAGCAGCTTATCAGTCCTTAGATGTGATGGTTATGCGCTCTCACTTCACTGTATTTATGAAGGAGCCGTGGTTGTCACACATGCTGGACTTCAAATATGTCTTCCTCTCTTCATCTCCGCTACATGGGGCATGGGGAGATTAGTAGCTAGTTTACAGAAGAAAGATAACTTTTTGTTTTGCTCATAGGATGTGAAAAGGACACTGCACTTCTCGCAAGATCAACAGGAATTTTCTGTACTGTTCAAAAATGTTGTTAGACTGAAAAAAATAAAACAAATGCAGTCACCAAATCTAGGAACTGTAAGCTGCAACATATTAAATGTTTGTTCTTGGGTTTAGGTAACCTTTAAAACAGTATCAGACAAGTAGTGAATGTTGAAAAACTTGCAGTGGGAATTCTGCAGATGCTCTTTAGCCTAGGCTCACTATGTTATCCATTTCACAGTGCTGTGTGACCGTGAGGTGAGTATATTAAGGGAGATTCCAGCTATCTCCAGGCAGCATCCTCTACTTCTAGACCTCGAGTCCTGATGACAACATTATTGTATTTGAAAGGAAGAGTGGGCAGCATATGTCCAAGATGGTTTAGAATTCTTGATAGGGTACTGTCAGGCTAGAAAAACAGAGGGTGCCTAGGCACTATCACATGTGGAAGTGCGCTAAGTCTTCTAATTAGCAACTATTTTCTGAAGATACATTTATACTATTTGCCTTGACACATTAAACCGTGTTAAGGAATCCTTGTTAGACAGCCAAAGCTTAGATTTTAAGAATAGGTCTGCTTTAATCTCATTTAAATTACTGTAAATATCACACAAACACTGTTACTTTGCGTTCAAAGGTGCTTTCCAGGCTACATTACTTTTAGCTAGTTGTTCTGACCCTTCTCCCATTTCCCCTGGATCAGGACCCGATTTTCAACTTACAGAATCCCCTAGTAACCAATCACATATAATTTCTGAACTGACTATAATTACTACAATCTGGTTGCTCTGGGTTATTGTACTTTGCAGTACAGTATTGAATAAGCCTACATTTGTGATGTCTCAATGTTTTCAGTATGATGATGGGTCTGAGTTAGCTGGTAAATTAATGGTATTTTAGCCTAGAAAAACTATTTAAGATACGTAGGCAGAGAAAGTATATTTATCTACATTTAAACAGAATAGAGTTATCTTGGGGTGACCTGACCTTATTACCAAATGTTAACTTGACTATGTCGTTAGTGGAAATTACTTTGTGATCTTAATAAGTACTTGAATATGCAGTGCTATTCTCTGTAACATATAAAACTGCAGTTTAATTAATGAATGACCAGGGGGTGGCTAGGTTGATGTAAACGTATATATGACAAATAGGACAAGCTAGAAGGGTGCTTTAAAGCAAACCTCTAGTGCAGTGAGAGTACCAAGGTGCTACTTCAGTGCTAGAGCAGATGCCTCTAGGTTAGTTCCAGAGAGCTCCAGGAACCCTGAAACTTTGGGAGTTCTATGATACAGGTATTAACCAGCTTCTGAAAGTCAAAAGTTGGTTGCTGCCTCTTGCCTCTCAATGTTGGCCAGCCATGTAAGCCAACAGTGAGGTGGGAGAGGCCATCCCAAGTGTTGGCCATAGGAGTTGGTTGGTATTTGAATATTAGAGCTTCCCAGTTTTCAAGACTTCTAGGGCTTTCTTACAACAAAACACAAAGTGTATGCAGGTGCCTGCTACAGCAAGATGATAGCAACTTTGTACATTTGAAAGGACTACAGATACACTTTAATTAAAGATGTTCAACTTTTAAAGCCAGTAAAGTTCACCTAATGGAATTGTCTACTAGAATCCGCTTGGTTGTATGGGAAGACACTTCATTTTTATAGATTGCAAATCCAGCAGACTACCTAACTCTCAGCATTTTTACAGTACTTGTAAAGATAGTGCTGCTCTGTAAGTAGGTCCTGTACAAAAATGAATGGTATACCTATATGGCTCAAGGTTTGGAAAAGTACAGCACTGAAGAAAAAAAAGAAGGTAACACAAAAGATTGAATATTTTTTTTCGCAATGCACAAATAGGCAGGTTCATGAAGAATACAGGAACCAATGTGCACTTTTTGGACTTAGGAATTAGGATAGGTTTTTTTTAACCTCTGACAGGAAGCATTTGCTTTAGGTATTTATGGCATCCTGGATATTGGAATTGGTGAAGTGCTACATTATTGGACCTTGTGCTCTTTAATCAGCTTTATCCATGCTTTTGAATCTCAACTCTATAAAATGTGTATTCTTGTGCATAACTGCACAATATCTGCCATAAAACAGATAACATTCCTAATTGAACTAGATAACCTTTAGTAAGTAGCATTTAAGCAATATTGGAAGATCTTCTTTAATTGGAATAGGTGCAGCTATCCACTTTTGGGATCCATCTATGTACACCTTTGAGGCCAATCTGTGGTTTCCAAAAGCTACATTGGACCTCTGTTTTCTAGCCATATTTATATGAAATAATCTTTTTCATGAAACATTAAAACAACTCCTGCTGATCTAGTCTTTTATTTGTGATAACACAGACTAAACTTCACCTGCAGCACATCTCTGGTTTGTACAACAACAAGGTTGCAGTTTTAGGTTGTACCCCAGTCAGTGTGAACTGTGTGTTTGTGACTGGCAAAGTAACAATTTAGGGAGACATTACTTCAGTTTGTACTTTTGTAAATGCCTGTGCCATATTTGTAAACCTTATCTGTGTACAAGTGGTGATCTGGGAAAGTGTAGGCATTTTGGCCACCCCTGTGTCAGGATAGGAACATTCTGTGACAGTGCCTTATGAATACAAGACTCCCAAACATAGAAGCTATGGTGGGGTTTGAAGATACTTTAGATATATATAAGGATTGTAGATGAGTGACTACAAAAATGGGTTAGCTAAAGGAAAAGTTCAAATGAGTGTCTCCAGATGTCTCAATGCCCATATACAGAGTACCAAGAAAATTATGCAAGTGATGGCTGACTGTACACAACCTATCTAGAATGTTAACATTTTATAGGATACCAAAAGCCTATTTTTTAGTATGCTTGAATGTATATTAGGGTATGTTCAAGAGTCACAGAGATGTGATTATATTCAAGAGTCACAGAGATGTGATTATATTCAGAGATCTCTACTCAACATCTCTTCATTTTATTTTGGGAGAAGGTTCTTGAATTCTTTTTTGCTGGAGCTTTCCCCATTTCTATATGTACTGCCTTTTACTTACCTCAGATCAGCGGGCACTAGTTGTGGCCCACCCAAGCCTTCTTCTAGTGGTCCTGTTCTCTTCCCAGTTAATGGGGTCACTTGGTACTGCACATGCACAGTCTATTCACCATCGACCCTAATGGACAAACTGTCCTCCCTGTAGGGCTGCAATAAGACATATTTTTTTCAATCAGGTAAAGTTATCCTTTAAACAAATGTCACAGCACTTCACCCACCACTCTGCCTGAATGTTCGAGTTAATAACATCTCTTACCAACAATTCTCTTCCAAAGATTAATTTCCATCCAGATGGAAAATCAATTTGTTTGATATTTGCCAGCCTATCAATTGATTAAATTGTTTTGTATATGAAATTAACTAAATGTTGTGCAGTCAGATCAGACAAAAAAATGGTTCCATCTATGGTCATTCTGAAATATCTGTAATCTATATATTTCTTAGAAGTCCTAGCTGTCTTGATCTAGTGAGTTTCTCTGGCAGTCTCATCGTCTCATTCTTTCTAACTAATTTAAAAAGACTCTCTTGCCACCTGAAGAAAGTTAAAAAACTGCTCCCTGAAAAATAAGATTTTTAATACCTAACTGTGCCATTGCCCAAGCTGTTGATTTTCTTGAAAAGCAACTACTGCCGAAAAAATATTCTTCACCGCCATACTTCCTTGGTTCTCTGTTGTGTAGTATGGTGCTATCCATCACCCCATATATCACTTTAGAACAGGGTAGTGACATAAGGGCTGGTGGATGGAGCCATTGTATGCAGAAGAGAACCAGGCATCTGACTCACATCGAGGTGTGTTGGATGCAGAAGATTCTTCAGACTACTTAACTCTCCAGTACGTGGCTCTGGAAATTATACAAGTAAATATTAACAATCTTCATTAATTAACTGGAAGCAGGATTTTCAGTTTTCTTTAGGTGGTGACAGTTTCCATTTAAGTGTCAGCCTCCATTAGTGGAGAATCCTGCAATACTCAGAGGTTATGAGCAGCAGCAGGAGGAGGAGCACAACAGAGGAACATCTTTATATTTCCTTAGTCTTAGCCTTAGATTTGAATGGCAAAGCTTTAAAAGTGAGTATAATTTTACGCAACTTCCACCCAAAGCAAAATGAATAAGTTTGGTACAGAACTTCTTTAAAGGTGAAACTGACAAACTTTACACAATTAAAGTCACATTAAAAGTCTATTACATGGTTTTGGTTAAAAC